TGGAGTGGACTTGTAAGTGTGGTTTGATGTGCCCGTACTAACCTGCAGTGGAGCTGGAGTGTCCCTGTTGATAGAGGAAGGTGACGCTGGAGAAACTGCGTGACTAACTCCTACTCTCCACTGGAGTTCGGTCTGATCTGTCAGACCTCAGAATCAACCCATCTTTCTTTCATACATTTTGAACATGACCTCTGATTAGTAACTGCCAGTGTGTGTTACATGTTTACAGATGAAATAAAAACATTGACCCCAAATCCTTAAAATAACTCATTTCAGAAATGAGCATTTCTCTGCAGCACAATGACAGTCCATCATTATCAGAGTTTTCCCTGACATCTTGTCTAAAGCTTCTCAAATCCTCTCTTTGTTGAAACCAGGCGTAGGTCAGGGAGAAAAAAGAAATAATTACCAAAGTAGCTTCTAAGATCTTTAGGGACCAGAAATAGCAATTGTCCAAAGACTGACCTTCAATTTTGAGCTTTGAAGTTCAAAAGTGGACAGGTGGAAGTGTTGTGTTCTTCATTGCCCTTTGGTGCGAGATATATTCTAGGTTGCAGAGTAAGTGCCAACAGCAGCAAAATTATTGCCCCCTCCTGCGACTAGAGTAAGTCAGCGATGGCTCTTCTGCGGTCAGAATGGCAAATTCAGCAGCAGCTATTCGACGGGGATTTGCGAAAACTTCCCCATGGCTGTTAGGAATCTTATTCAGCAGTGTCTTTGAAAACCTGATTTTGTGCAGAATTAACTATGTCGAAGTGACTTCTCTTGTAAGAAGAATTGTTTTATACAAATTTAATACATAATTTCTTTCTATGTGTATTTGCTTCCCACTACCTCTATGTGTGTCCAGAATTGCTAAGTTTTATAGCAGTTCAGGATTTTATTTCCATATTAACATAATAAAATTCCTGGCTTTATACAGTCAGCTCACCATACAAAGCCACTATACATCACTTAGGTTTGTGATGGAAGAATGGAATTGCAGCTGTGTGAGTACTAGAATACCCAAACATGAATTAGACTCACAAGCATTTGGCAATAGTTCAGAAAAAGAGCTTAATCTGGTTTCATCTGAGACTGCTTTTCTTTTTTCTACCACATCCCCCAAGATGTTGTGTCTGATAGCAGATCACAACGTAATGGGAGTGACGCAAAATCAGAGAGCCCAAAGAGGCCAGGACGTCTGCTTTCTCCCTCTACCCCTTCGTTACTTTTTTTTCCTCTCCCCCCTCCCAAGTTCCAACTTTGAAATTCAAGGTCATTCACCTATTAGATGAATTAATTATAAGCCAAAATGCAGCATTCATCGTACCCTGATCTCACTCATATCTATAATTAAGGGTAAATATAATCTTCCTTTTTAGAAATGTACCACCCACCCATTACATTTGAAGTGCTGACTGAAATGAAATAATAGTTCCAAGCAAGATGGTTTTAGTTTCACATGAAAAAGTTGATAATTTAAGCTTCAAACAGTTAGTTCTATTTTTGATTACCATTCAGTTATAAATCTAATTTGAGATATATGCTGCTTTTCAAGTTTAATTCATGGTTTGCATCCTCAGTTGCCTTAGCAAACTTTAGTGGTTGATCAAGTGTGTTCCAAAACTCCCCCAAGAAGGAATCAGGGCAGGATGGGGAAGGTGTTGGAAGGATGGTCTGAGACACAGTCAGAACCATGGGAAACAAACAGAAAATGTAATTGGAAGATATCCGGGCAGGAGGCTCCTTTTGGCATCTGCAGGGCTGCCCCGGGTCTGCTCTTTGCTAGAGTGTTGGCTGCAGGGGTGAACCCAGAAACAGTTAAGCCTGGTTCCAGGAGTCAGTATCATTGTTTTCTTTGGTTAGGATGTTTTCAGTCTGGAAATTCTTTGCTTTATGATGAAAGTAAGAAGTGAATAAAAGCACAGAGTTTGTCTCATCACATTGTGGACAGTTAGCGAAGTGCTGCTCTCTGGGTTAAGATTTACAGGTTGTTAGCTCTGTGAGGTGCCACATCTTCCTTCCAGTATTTCCTGGCAGGCTCAAGGCAGCTTAGTACCAGGGCCCAGCATAACCACAGAGCCTGAGGTTGCACAATGTGAAAGCTTGAAACCCTCAGTTCCTTTTGCCCACTTTGAAAGTAGATTTAGCTTTTAAACTTAGCTTTTGTTAGCTTTTGTCTGAAAATCTGTTTTCAGACCACACACACACACACACACACACACACACACACACTCACGCAAATTTCAATGTGAATGGATGCCTTACCCATTTTGCTGAATTTAACTAACCTTAAATTTACCACAGTTAACTCTTTTAAATGCACAAAGTGGGAATTTTTCAGGCAATGGAAAGAAACATTGTTTTGAATTTCTCATTGTCATGGAGAGTTAAGCATGTGATGTAAAGGCCAAACAATAGTAAATGGTCATTGTTCATTTTATAAGTATACACTACGATTAGTACACATATATTTTTATCTCCTTTTTCCCTAAGGGGGTGATTAAGGCCCCCTTAAGTGTGAGCAAATGTTTATTTTTGTTGCTTTAGAAGAATGATTCCATTGTCCAAGTGAAAAAGAAAAAGGAATAAACACATCTAGAAAGAAACAGGAATGTGCTTTGTGGGGAAAAAGAAAAGATGAGCTGGAGCCAGTAAATGTCTGCGAGTGCTGTCGACTCGGGCCTGCAGCGCTGTGCATAGTTCATGTGGCTGCATATACAAGTGTTGGGTGCCTGATTTATTTCTGCCTGGCCTGGGAAATGAGCTTTCAAAAAATTAGCCACAGTAAGGTCAGCCACAATAAGTTAGCTGTTTTCTAGTTACCGTTTTTTATTTTTCATAGCTCTATTGTGAATGCTGCAAGCCTGTTTGCTTTGAGGTTGACCTATTGAATGTGCTTACTTTCTGTAGAGTGGAAACCTTTGACACTGAGGACGAACGAGAAATAACCAATGTTAACTTGTTAAAAAGGCAGGCAAGCACTTAAGCATATTGTTCAGTCCTTTCTTGACCTATTTTATGTATTTTTAGAAAAGAAAAAGACAGTGGAAAGAATGCCTATCTGTTATACAAAGTTATCAGTAATATCGTTTTGAAACCCCCTTTTCCAGTGTAGTCTCATTTATAGATGCACTTAACTGGAAGGAGTTATAAGCTCAAATCATTGCAGTTTCATTGAGAGACATTTCAAAGCACACTTGGACTTTGTTAGATTTTGTTAGCAAGACTTGCCAAAAGTGGAATGTCATGTAGAGATTCTCAAATGTTTCGAATCCTGCTCACACAGTGATCAAGAAGTTATTGGATGTTATGCAGTAGAGTCCTGATTCACAGAAAACTTTGTAATGCTGGGCTCTGTATCTGAGTTGTCATTGTGTAGCATTTTGGTGTCTGGAGTTCTTGAGAGGCAATAGCTAAGCATGCAGACGTCAGGTTTTTATCTGGCAGATTATCTGCTGTTTTCATCAGATGTTTATGTTGCAAATAATACTAGTAATGAACTTATTACTCAGAATATGCTCTCAACCTAAAATCTCCTCCTTGAAGTTTTATTTTAAAGTATGCTGATTTTGTATCCCTTGAAGAAGTCTTAAACTGGAATCAGTGAAGGCAAGCTTGTCAGCAGCTGATTAGTCTTTTATAGATTACTCATCCAACACTCACAAAACCCCTCGCTATGGAGAGATCCTCTTTATGATATTTCACTCTATGGTGGCGGGAAGGGGAGGTTTGAATTTTTGATTTTACGGCTTATGGGTCATATTTGACCAACTGCTTTCACTCGAAGACATGCCACTTTGTTGAGCTATTTAGGAATCAAAAAGACTGTCTTAATTTAAAACAAGGACCCTTTGTTGTAGTTGGTGACTGCCTTGTGAAATTTTTCAGTTCTCAGCGGGTTAACCAGGGAACAGGGGCAGAGTCATAATTGGCCTATTTAGAGTATTTTGCATGTGAATGGTGTGTTAGTGAAGCATCCCTAAGTCTGTTGTGAGTGACATGGTGATTAGAATTTAGATTAGGGAAAACACATTCTGTACTTTATCAAGGACAGTAATTAGTTCAGTCAGTAAAAGTTGATTACAAGTAACGATAAAGTTAGATTTTTAGTACTTAATTTTAAAATTTCTTTATTAAACATTAAAATTGTTCTTAATAAAAATGGTACTATCTGCACTTGTTCTATTGCATATCAGAATAATTAAAAGAACAATGTGTTCAATGCAGACTATAATCAGGCGATTTATATATTACGGGTAAGTTTCTATGTAGTTTTGCAAGAATGTGATGTCATTAAAATTTTTTTCTGATGTCATCATTTTTGAAAGTTTACTAATTTGTCGCTCCGAAACAAGCTAATGATATTTGCGAAAGTTTCTAGTGTTGGGATGAACGTGTAACATGTGGGGATGTGTTTTAGTTCCAGTAGTCCTGGGGAGGGCATTCGGATGCTGTGCGGTTTGTTCCTGTGAGCTTAGGATGCCTGCTGTTCGTGTGGCGGCAGAAGGTGTGTGAGGAACTGGACTTCCTCTGGGGCCAGCAGGCATCTCCTTCCCTTCCGAGGTGCTGTGAGTCGGTGCGGCTCCAGAGAGGCAGGCTCCTTGGTGGAGTGGCCAGGGAAACTGCTGAAATCTGAGACCCACTCCCGGTTCCCGCGAGGGAGAAGTCCTGAGCACTTCCTCCTGGGAGCCCAAGTGCAGAAGAGAACATTCACCTCCCACGAATGGCAATGTGTTGCGGAATTAGATCCTTAAGTCACCGTAAAATGCTTAAAAGACACTGTTTAAAGAGATGCATCTTCCTCACGCACGTATGGAATTAAAAATGCGCAGACTTGGTGATAGCACCTCAGACTGCCTTTTCTGCCTGCTTGCTGTGTTTGATTGTTTCAGTTGAGCAGATGCTGCTTGCTTTATTGCATTAGTTTAAGTGCGAACAATCAGGGGGTGGTGATTGTAAGAAAAAAAAAATTAACCTCACATGTTTGTTTTCCCTTTTTTTTTTTAACTTTTCAGCAAAGTCTCCTTGGAGGTGACATGGATATGGGCAACCCAGGAACCCTTTCCCCCACCAAGCCTGGCTCCCAGTACTATCAGTATTCTAGCAATAACCCCCGCAGAAGGCCTCTTCCCGGTACTGCCATGGGTAAGGGATTCTGTTTGAGTGCCTCAGTGATTATGATCTGTCTTCCACCTCCCCTTTCTTTAAATCCTCCTTGTGCAATACCGCATTTTCACCCCAACCCCTCTCCCCCAGCCTTACAAAACCACACAGTTAGATTCAGTTGCCAAGTTGGTGACGTCCACCCAGTAGTCCTCTGGGTTCACGTGTTAGCGACTTTATAGCAACAGGACTTGGCTAGTGTGGGTTTATTTCTAATTTTCTCATGACAGTGTAAATAGGGAACATTTTTTTTTTTTTTGAGAAAACCTAACAATACGGTAATTTTGAACAAGGTAGAACATGATTTCTTTTAGAACAGATGAAGATAGTTGAGGTAGTGATGTTGTAAGAAAATCTGTTCTGATCTGCATGGCTCCGTGGCTTCTGATATACGTTCGTTAGGAATATATGCCTGTGGCAGCTCACAGTGTCCCTCATTTGTTTTTCAGAGGTACAGACAAAGAAAGTTCGAAAAGTTCCTCCAGGTTTGCCGTCTTCAGTAAGTACTGCTCCTTTCCGCTGTGCATATTGCTGAGTTTGTTCTGCCTCGAGTCTCTGTGAGGGCGGTTAAATGTCAGTGAGGCTCGATGCGTCCAGGGCAGTCCGTTGTCTAGAATGTGGCTGAAGCAGGGCTGACCTCCCTGTGCAGCCAGCCGACCTGAGCTGGAGTGTTGAGACTGAGTGGCTGTGTTGATCTTCAGCGGGGTTAAGCTCAGAAGAGGACCCTGCGGAGGTGCCTGAAGTACGAGAGCTGAAGTACCTGTACAGGGCTTCCAAGAGAATGAGCATTAGTTTCATGTGTTGGTTAAGTTCTTTGTCAGTATTACGGTGATTTATGGATTTGCATGTGAAAGGAGATTGTGGAAAGGATTTAGGAAATATTTACATGAGTTTCAGCCCAGAGTGCAGGGAGAATGTCTCTATTTTCTAGGGAGGTTGCTGTATTAAAAGCTGCAAAGGTAGCTGCGTCAGTAGAGCCAGCCAGGTGACTAGGGGAGGATCCAGCTGTAACCAAGAGCATTCTGGGGCTTCGCAGTAGCAGCAGCTGCCTGGCAGGAGTGCCCGTTCTGCCAGGGGTAGCACAAGTTGGTCGTCGTTCTCACAATCAGATCCATGATGGCGTATTTTGAGTTCTTACATGTGTTGAGTTCCTAAGTATTTAATTTTGTCTAGGAATGGTTTAGTAAATTTTTTCTAATCACCCATCACCCCCCCCCAAAAAAAAGAGAGAGACGCTGATTTCCTACCTTCTTTACTTTTCCCGCTTCCTTCTTTTTTCCATTTTTCCTTCCTTTTTCGGGTGGCGTTATGGTGTGATGCCATTTATGCATGAGTTTTATTTTCATGGCGAAGTTCTCATTTTCTTTGTAAAGAATGCTAATGAGCTTTATTATAAGTTCTGTCATTTTAAAATAAAATTATATTTAGATTTCTGGAAACATATTACCAATCAGCATTCACATATTAGTCTTTATTTCATTTTTAATAAATTAGAAAAATAATGGGTTTTGCAAATGTGCTAAGATTAGATTAACCCAAACACCTGTGTATTTGAGTTGATTTCAGTTCAGCTCACTCAAAATATTATTAGATGAATATATCAGAATAAGCTTTATCAAGGGAAAAAAGATTTTAAAGCTAATTATCATAGGCTTGATAGTGTTGAAGAAGCATCACAAAATTATCCATAAAGTATTGTGTAAATATTGGCAAAATATTGTATAAATAAAACTGCCAGTGACATATAAAGTAGTAATTTTTGGATCACTAGTAAGTTAGTTATTTTAAAATGTACTGAATATTTTGTTCTTTGAAATGTGGCGGTGTAGTGAAATTGATCCAAAAGGTTTTATAAGGTTTTGGTAAGCTTGAATTGGTGATCAGTTTCATGTGGATGAAACTTTAGCTTCTAATAGCCTTTAGGACAGCTTCAAATGATAGTTCTTACAGCTGTTTACATTTTAAACATGCCTAATCCTAGTATAAATAATTTTAATTTTCATAGACCTCTGCTTGCTCTTAGGTGATGAAAATCTGTGTGCTTTAAATGCCACAGCAGCTCAGAGCTATCACACCCTCTTCATGCCTCATATTAAAATTAATTCAGTTTGTTTTTACCAGTGGTAAAATTATGCAATAATCTGCATAGTTTCTAAGCAGTGCATTGGTGTGGCACTAGATGTCATCTCAGTGCTCAGTTATAATCCATGGTAAATTTTTAAACTATCTTCCTGTGACTAACTGGACCCTTTAGGAAATTATACTGGTATAGTTTTTTTTTTCTTCTTCTTCTTCTTTATCGTTAAGACAGTTTATGTGTTGCTGGTACATCGTGATATTCTCTTAAATATAAAATCATCAAAGGAACTTTGCCTTCTCAATGAATTCAGGAGTTGGGAATTTGTGCCACTTAATTTTTGGTTTTTAATGGTCATCTTAGGATTTGTCTGGGCTACATGTTTTAATGATTCTTATAAAACAGGAAGGAAGAAAATTTAGTTAAATGAGAATTTTCTGTCTACTGAAGAATGAGACTGAGTAGTTTTGAACCCTGTCTCCAATTTGTTATTTAAAAAATAGCTCTATTTCAATGACAGTTGAGGTTAGTTTGCTTAGCCTTGTTGTATATGTATTTCATGCTTATTGCTTCTTTAAAGGCTCGTGTGTTAATACAGTATCTGCATTCTAGCTAGGTTTTAAGAAATTGTGTACTACACATTCTATCACTTTTCCTCCGGTTTCTGTGTATTTCCTTATTTTTAGACTTCTGCCATGCTTTTTTTAAGTTCAAGTAAAAACTTTGTAACAGAGACTTCAAAACTCGTTTCAGTATGTATGAGTATTTGTGCCACAACAGAAGGTTGAAGACAATGAAAGGTTTCCTTAAGAGTGATCATGAGGAAAGACATTGATTTGTTTTCTTTGATACATATTTACAATGACAAATAGTAATAAATCTGTCACAATCTGTCCTGTTAACTCACTTTTCCCCCTTTTTGAAATGGGCCGTCTCTCTTGCATTAGATAAAACAAGAAAAGTGACACTGTGACACACTGTAGTCAGATGCTGTGTATATTGCCATGGTCCAGAGGCTGAGCTGCTTTGGCCACCCTGGCGCACGGTCTTCCCAGGTTGTCACGAGAGCCAGGGCACTGCGTGGCCCTGTTGGGAAAACACTGCTGCGTGTGTGGAGAAAGGAAGCAAACGTCTGGCCCATGATGCCTTGGATCTGGCAGGATCCATGCATGCGTGTTTGTGCTGTGCGCTGCTTCGAAGCCCTGAGTTCTTGTGGAAACATGACATAGGGACAGGATGGTGGGAAAACCATTGCTGGGTTCTCTTGAAGGCACAAGAACAATGGTGAGAAGGAGGCCCAGCCCTCCAGAGACCAGAGGCTAGTGGGTAGGGCTGGGAGATTCTTTTAAAGGAAAGGCTGTGTGAATGCAACAGTCAGAATGCATGCAGGAGCTCTGCTTGTTACTACAGAACACTTCCGGGTCTTTTCTTTGAATTTTGTGTGTGATTCCTGTCTGTTATATCCCAGTTTCTTCTTAGCCCTCATTTGATAAGACTTCCAGGGCCAGACTTTGTCCCTTGTTGAGGCCAGAGTTTATTTTGCATGTCTGATCTCTGGAATCTATATTCAAATCCAACAAAACTTCTTGTTTTGTTAGATTTCTTCATCCTGATTTTCTGTCTTAAACTGTATTTTATTGTGACCATGATTTTTTACAAATGTACTGCTCTTCCCAGCAAGTTCTTCTCTTGGTGTAACCCAATAATCACAATCATTGAATCATGAATTCAGGCAGAAAGAAAATGCATCTGCATTAGTGTTTATGGAAAACGATGATGATTCTTGACCAAATTTAGCATGAAAATGTAGTCTGTAAAGCAAGGAAATTTTTTCTTTTTGTGTTGTTTTAAGGCAAGTGAATCTCACACACACACACACAGAGGAAGAGAGAAACCAAAGACATTGTGTTTCAGTACTTTGTTGACCTTACCAGTATATAAACACACAAGGTCTTGATCTTCTTATAGTTTGGAATATTCCAAATTGAAATATGTTTCAGCAGAAGGTATTCACCGCTACACAGCTTACATTTCAAACATTGGCGGAATCTGTCCCATTTGCAACTTTCATGATGTTTTCACCACAACCCCAGTTGGGATCTCTGGGACTTCAGAATTCTCTAAAACTGCAAAGTTTTATCCTGTGACATAATTTATGACTTTGCTTATCTGCAGTGACCTTTTCTCAAATCGTACTTTCCAATAAAGTCTTTGGTGGTAAATTGCAGTGCTTTGTTTTGTTTGTTTGTTGTCATTTTATTTGTGTTGTGAGCTCTTTCCCACTGGAAGATCTAGCTCAGGGTACAGTGATTATTTTAAATATGTGAACCCTAGGGAAAATAATTCTTGCTACCATGAAGATTCCAAAATAAGATTTGGATATTTGGTTTTAATTGAAGGAAAGTATATTTTAAATTAAAAATATATATATCAATTCTGGATTAGGCTTTTACAAAGGAGATTATTAGAAGTATCAGGAAGAAACGGATAATGCTAATGACATTAATTGTTTTGTGTATTTTCTAGTCAGTAAAAATCTCCATACTTGAAGGTTTCCAACACCATGTTGAATCCACATCTGAAGATTTTTTTTTTTGCAGGCTTAGTAGGGGCAACTTTCTTCCCCATATTTTTTTTAAAAAAATTCCAATTTGAAAGAGTCCAGTATCACATAGAATGAGAAAATCCATGCATCCTTTAACTCATACTTTTAACATGGAACATGGGAAATCAGAACGGTGCTTTTCTGGACGATACAATTTTCGCTTGAGTCATAGTTCAGTTTTTTTTTCAAATGAAATTGTGTTAGAATATGCTCTTTTCCAAGTGAACTGTCTGCCACCTGGGACACGCCGTGTGTAGGGAAGTCCATGTGTGATAAGATAAAGAAGGAAGGAACTCCTCAAGGTTCATTCTTTGAGAGAGACACTTTTTGAAAAAATATCATGCAGGTGTTTATCTTAACATACTGAGATAACACAGCTTTTTCAACTTTGATCATAATGTATCTGTTTTTTAAATTAAAATGAAGTATAGGTCCTAAAATTATATTTAAAGTATAAAAATATAAAGGTTAAAGGAGATTAAGTATTACATAGTTATACCATCCAAAATAAGACAAACTATCACTCACACTGCTTATGTGATTCGATGTGAGACAGGGAAACACTTTGAATACCAAGAAAATATCACGTAGGAAATATTGTGTGTGCGTCTGTGCTGTTAATGCTGAATTCACCAGGTCAGCTTCAAGGTTTTGGCCTGTGCACGGAAAGGCAATGTCATCCTTTCTATTGCGCATAAAACCCACATAGGAGAAGCTTTATATGAGCGACTAGTAAATGAAACAGGTAAAGGAGGATCTTGTTCATTGGGGATTTACAATATTTCATTATCGTAGAAGGGAAAATGAGAGTATATGC